TCCGATCCCGTCTTATTAACTGCGAGTCGTCAGAATTCTTCCTCTCCTCTCCGCATGTCTCTGTCTCCACAGCGCCGTCACAAACCCTACTGGCAACTCCTAACCACTTGAGAGACATCTCAAGCTGTCTTAAATAACTGGGAGAGTAAGGGTGATTCTTAGCTTTAAGAAATTTGATAACTTGCTTGTATACTTAAGTTTAAAATTCATGAATTCTCAGCACTTAGGACTAAAATGACACTTTGAGAAGCTTGATAAACACTGGCCCAGAAAGACTACCGACCAGTAGCCTTGACATCAGCACCAGATGGTGATCAGTTGACAGCTCCGGTCTCACCACTGGAACGAGGACGGGCTCGTCTGGAGGACACTCAGATGAAAATCCATTTCCACTCCAAAGCATGGTTTACCTCTCACTGAGCTCCTCCCCCACCACAGAGGGGTTTTCAGAGCCTGTCCAACTTTAAAATGAGCAGCAACATGAAGATCTGTGTTTCTGTTCAGGACCCTGAAGATCCTGATGTCATGAGGAATCTCACTGCCTCACCTCTGACCTTTACAAACTCTCACTGTTTTATCTCTCTGTTCCTCATGAACATTAGCTCTTTAACTAACTCCGCCACAACTGAGATGTTGGTTAATGTCCCTGCCAAATAAAGAAAGAGAGAAAGAAAGTGTGTTCTTCTTCTCTCTCTTTAGGGTCACAGTGCAAATCCCCCCAAAGTCCGGCTCCTCCAACACCCAAACCCAGAAGCACCTTCTCCGTAAGTCCTCAAACACATCAGCAGAGGTCAGAGGTCAACACTGAGGGGAAACACTGGCTGTAATCTTAAGCAGCGGGCGGCCAGTATTTAGTACATAACCTCATACTGCGTTTCATAGTCTGGAACGGGCTCAGCCGGGTTCTGGTTCTGGAAAGTAAACAATAGGAGGAAAATAAATGGAAGAAGCACTTAAAAGGGGGAAAATGCCAAAAAGCTTAATATGACCTCTTTAATTCTTTGTTTGTTTGTTTGTTTTAAAGGGACAGTGCACATTGATGACCAGAAGGACTAAGTCCCAAATGTAAGTGAGCCAGATTTAGCCGTACAGATTCATTTAATCTGGAGTCCCTGGCAGGTTGATGGCAGAACAAAAAACATCAAACATGTCATCCAGAAAACATTCAAACAAACTTAAGCACATAATCCCAAGCAGAGAACCCAGGAACATGGATAAAACATAAAAACAGGAGTCACATAAACACAGACAAAAGCAGACGAGCACAAATAAGATGCCACATAGAAGACATCAGCATGTGAGCACAGACATTTGTAAAAACAATGACAGAAGCACTAATGCACATTCTGACTACATATTGTATTTGTTGTTGGTAGTAGTACAGATGCAGCTCGCTACGTTACCTTTGTTGCAGATTGTTTTACACAAGATTCAATTAGAAGAAAATGTTTACATTTATTTTCTTTCTGTTGTATTTTTCTTCTTTCCAACACCGGGAACCGGCTACTGCAAAATAAATAAATGCTATATGTAGTACATACTGCGGTCGCAGGTAGTATGTAGTAGGGCTGGGCTATAAAACAATAATGATATTATATATATAACTAACTGCTTACCAAAGAACCAGTGGTCCATTTTAGATGTGTTGTTTGTGTTTTAGCTGATTCAAGCTAACACTGTTGCTCGTCTTTCTGCCACTCAGTGAGCGTAACTGCATTCTGTGACATCATGCAAATACCCTCTATTCGGTGTTTGGAACTATTGGATGCCCCATGACGCGCGTTACTTCCGCATTCCAAAGTTCCAAGAGAAGTCAAATGGAGTGTCGTAACTCTTATTTAACGGCCCTGGTTCTTGTCAATTTTAGTTAAGTCAGCTGATCTGCTGGCCGACTTTACTCCGTGTGTGTGTGTGTGTGTGTGTGTGCGCGTGTGTGTGTGTGTGTGTGTGGAGGCTCCCTGCAGAGAAACGGAGGCTGCAGGTCAGGCAGGCCGTATGGTTGAGTCCTGGATTGGCGGAGATCGGCACAGATGCATTTGAAACTCTCAGCAGAGATGAGAAGGAAACGAAACAGCTCTCCCATTAGCTGCTTCCATACATGTAGTTTGCTCATGTTGTCATATCAGATTCTGTGTGCTGAGCCACGCAGGTTGCTTCTGGGCCGGATGTGACCCGCGGGTCGCCAACTGATAGGGCTTCTGTAGAGGATCAACTTTTTTCCCGCCCCATCCAGGCTGTGATTGGTCAGTTCATGAAAAGTGACACTGATGAGCATCTTTATGTACAGGGCTGAAGGCACCAGAGCTTCAGAGATTATCAGAAAAATAGATGGCTTGTTTGTTTGTTAGGATAAAACACTCGTCTGTAGCTACGTACATAATGTAACACACCCAGCTGCAGAATGAGGTCTGTCTTCTTCTTCATTCCTGTCATTCCTGAGACTCAGAGTTTCTCTCTATTCAAACTGTTTCCTCATCTCTTGAGACGAACTGAGTGAAAATAGATTCCTTGTGTTGAGTTTTTGCTTTTGTTTTCAAAGGTTTTGATGGAGTTTAGTTTGAGTTTCCCTGAGCAGAATGATAATCAATAATAAATACAGAAAAACATCTCCCCCAAAAGTCTGATGATTCTGTAAAATATTTACAAAGTTTGAAGTGGAAAACAAAAGGTGGCAGTTCTCCCCATTCACATGTTGGTATGTGACCTGGGCTCCTGCCTGGTGTGGTAGACCCCAGCCTCTATTGATCTGGTACTGAGAGCCTGTTTGTGCCGCCATGATTAGTGCTTCTGTACATATACATATAACTTGTGAGTATCCTTCACTCAGCTTGATGTGATGACTTAGTGTACAATTTATTTGAATTCATATAGGGTTTTGTTTTTCTTTTATGAAAACACTAAATCATAGATTATAGTATTATTGTTTAATATATGAGTATGATGATTAAATATGAATACTGAGCAAAAAATAGACCAAGCTAATTGAGTTTCTCCTTTTAAGAGAAAATGTGTATATTAATACATATATAGAAACTTATAGATCCATACTAGTACATGAAACTATACTGTACATTCATATCCACACACACACATACACGCTGTCCTCCTAACCTAATACTGTCCTCTCACACACAGTGAGGACCTGATCCAACATTCAGTGTTGCTCCAGTTGAATCCTGGGTCTCATGTTATCTGGACTTTATATTTTAAAGAGTTTCATGGGACACCGAGTTTGATCCGATTAATTCAGCTTGATTAAGACATGTTTGTGATAACAGGAGATATTTAGAAATGACAGAGTTTCACTATCTTCTCTAATTCTTATTGTTATTTTATGTTTTGGTTATCAGATACTGAATGTATCTAAAATCTAAACTTTTACATCCTGCTGCAGAGGTTCCATCTACTGTAGTTCTCTTAGTGTTCCTCTCTAGTCTCTTAAAATGTTGGTTGGAAATCACTGTAGAAGAATTACATCTGTTTTTCTCCAAGTCTTCATCTACAATAGTGCATTTATAAAGCCCTATAAACCCTAATCCCCATAAGTGTAGCTCAGCTCATCAGCTTGTTAGTTAGCAACATCTAGAAGACAGAAAATAAAACTTCAAATGACATCAGTGATTTTTCTGACTCTGGCTGTTAAAGAAGAAAGGTGTATCACCATCTCATAGCCAAATGGAAACGGTATTTAAGCAATAAAGAATTTTTCTTGCAACCTTAATCAAATATCAAAACAAATGGATCAAAAACATAAAATACGCACCCCCACCATCACTCAGGTGAGGGAGAGGAACAGGGAAATAAAAACACTTCTGATGAGGTGGAGTCTGCCACAGGTTAGACCGGTTTTGACGTCACTCTGATGTTTTTTAGACTCTGAAGTTATGAGGCTGTGACGGCGTCCTCAGATCAGATGCACACAGACACCAGGACTGACGAGGAAGAAATGAGCAGCTTCTTCTCTCCCAGTGTTTCCTCCACACATGAAGGTGCAAAGTGTCTGTAAGTCGACCTGAAGTGAGTTCAGCAGGTGAGAATCCGACCAGAGGAATCTGTAAATGTCTGATAATCAGGATCACTTTGATCACATTGTGCTGGATCACTGTTTAACTGGACAGTAGAAATGCTTCTTGATGCTGATTGGCTGTTTCTAAATATCTCTTTGAAATCTGCTGTAGAATTTCTCTCCGAGTTAAAGAACAATGATTTCAGAAAGATTTCCCTGTAATATTGTTCATGTTTCTCAAGTAGAATCAGCAGCAGTCTGATTGTAGTCTGAGCTCACATCATCAGTGAAACATGCAGGGTGTGTCTGAACTGGTCTGACAGCTTGGATCCACTTGGCTCAGGTTTCTGATTTAACTGTTAATACTCTGAAGTTAAGTGCATGGATGAAGAGTTCAGGGCTCAAATACAGACATCTTCCAACACTGAGACGGACTTGGTTTCACTGAAGACCCTTTAGTCCAGGTCTCAGCTGTACCAGAGACTCCAGGATCCTTTCTAGATGGACCAGAGCCAGCCCAGGGTGGAGGGGAACTTAGAGGTTGATTAGGGCCCCTCAGCCATCAGGGGCCCTCACAGGAATAGAGAAGGACCAAAGTAAAATCAGCCATCCTGTGTCTCTCTGGTCATGATTTAAATATTCAAAGACAGAAATAAAGATTTAAAGACACAGACCTTGAGGAGAACTAAAGTGTCCTGAGATGTAAAGCTTGTTGTAATGAATGAGTGCAGCTCTCTCAGCATGTTGTTGTGTTTGTGTGAAGGTGTGGGCTCTGCTATGAATCAGTGTGAGGACAGAGAGGAGGGAGTCCCTCCCTCTAAAAGCACTCTGTGTGGGGAACATGACAGCCAGACCAAAGCTCAGAGGTGAGATGAGGATCTCTAACTGTCCAGGACTCAAATCACTCCACCATCATTATTCACTCTCAAAGCTCTGTGTGTGTTGTGTTGAAGCCCAGAGCAGCAGCAGGGACCAGACTCTGCAGGACCTGGACCTGGACCTGGACCCAGCTGTGTGTCCATGAAGAGTGACCGGTCTATGCTCGAACCTCTTGTCTTCAAAGGTGGACACCACTCTGCTGATCAAAGGTCAGCATGACATGAGGTTTGGTGTCTTTGTTGTGATCACTTCATTTTCTTAACTCTTTCTTTCTTTTTATTCAGAGAAACAAGGACAACGTACAATAAACATTAACCTCAAAAGGGGAAGATGCATTGTACCGGGTTTTAGCTCAAGAGCTAATTTTCACCCGTAGTCCCTGGGCAGGCTGATGTTAAGTTAAGATACATAAAAAACATACATGAAATTTTCACATTTTCCAAACTAGTCTCTCATTTTGCAGATCTTAGTCCAAATATCAAAACCACGGTTAAAATCTACAAACAGCTGGATGCAGGTTTGAGAATGTGTAAGAACATTGAAAGTGGATGATAAATTAGCTCCTTCATGCAGTTTTTCAAATCAGGATCCACATTCACAAATCTCAGATTACAAAATAAAATCTGGGAACAAAGTCAGGAAGGGTTAACAGCCCAACCTGCATCTTTTATGAGGGCTGTGATTAAGTTTCTTACTACAGGATTATGTAAATACACTCAGTGTGATCACGTCATCAAACAGAAACACACTGTTCAGGATTCAGATTAAAAAGAGAGATGGGTATATGTATCAACCTGTTGTATTCAGATCATATGACACCCATCAGCTTATCCTAGGTAAACATTTTAATGGAGGGATTTCCTGTCATCCAATGGGTATTATGTCTTTATCAGGCAGTTAAGTAGTCTGTTCTGCTTCTGCTCTACTTCACAGAGTTGATGAGCAGAGCTCAGAGGTTCCCAGTGGTCAGTCTGCCCAGCAGCATCAAACAGACCTGGACTCCATATTTATGGTGTGTAAATGTACAAGCTCAGCTACTACTGCTAATTACAGGAGCCACAAAGTAAATATTGAAGCAGCATTCTGATCCAGTCTCCATGCTGCACTCTGCAGACCAGCAGGCTTTCTGTCTGTCACAGATGATCTGATGTTGACTTCTACCAGTTCAACTTTACATTTTCTTCTGTTCCAGCTGCTCCAGGAAAACATTGGCAGGTTTGTGAAGAACGAGGTGAAGAAGTTCCAGAGAGTTCTGAGTCCAGATTACCCAGAATGCTTAGAGAGTCAGAGGGAGGATGAGGAGGTGTTGGACGGTGAGGAGGAGGAGCAGAGGAGGAGCAGCAGAGAGGCATTTCTGAAGATCACACTGCACTTCCTGAGGAGAATGAAGCAGGAGGAGCTGGCTGAGCGTCTGCAGAGCAGTAAGAGGATTTGAACAGATTTAACATGATGGAAAGAGGAAATGGAGGCAACATGGGAGAAGTTTCCATTTCAAACTCTGCTGTTAATATGATGCACACATTTGGATCAGATCTATGAATTCTTCTGGGCTGAAACTCAGAAACTCTTTGTTAATAAAATTATGACTGTTAATAAGTGGATATATTTATATCACATATGCACTTGTTCACAAACGGGGGCACCACCTAGCATGAGATGAATAATCAGTGCACGAAACTGGGTTATGAAACAGTACATACACCCTTCCTGTGATTAAAGTAGAATATTTATTTAATAACTGAGACAAGTAAAGGGAAAGTTGGAACTGAATTAAAACATGTTTAGCTATTGTGAAAAGAATATGGTTCTAAAAAAAATGAAGAAAGCAAATGGATGCAGGTTGTGGATCCTAACACTGTAACTAAACTGTAATTAAGCTATAAATTTCCGAGTTACAGTTACATCAACCTGACCACAGAATTGTGAGCTTTGCCTTACTATTTGTTGTTTCCTCCAACCCGGTCTCACTCCCAAGTCGTCACATATGGACGCTTGGTCAAGAGCCATAATCGTCAGTTTGTGACGCACTAGGGATCCCTTTGACGTCATAGTTCGACGTATTGAGGGAAGCCCTGTTGTGTCAGTTTTTGATGGTAAAGGCAAGTATGATATTTAAGAGAAAATACGAAGTAAGGAGGTGATTGGGGTGGATAGAGGGCCAGAACCTGGACCTTGAAGCAGGAGAACAGGGTTTGTGTCCCGTGCGAAACAAAACATTAAATGTTTTTATTTAGGCGAGTGAGGTAAATTGACATTAACGTTAGTTAAGTTAAGTCTCAATTGACATACATAGCTATTTTAACCCAAACCATGATCTTTTCCTAACCTTAACCAAGTAGTTTTGTTGCCAAAACCCAACCAAGTACTTTCTGTGCCTAAACCTAACGAAACTGCAACGTTTCACGACTTTAATTATGCGCGTTTCAACATGGCAATGTATCGAAACGTTACGTTTTATCTTGAAAGTGTAACCGGATATTGCACATTTATTGTTGCTAAGCGTTTCTAACTTGACTGTGGATCCCTAAACGTCAATAATTGATGCAAAAGGGCTACCCAAGCCTTTAAAAAGCGACGACAAAGGGCCTTGACCATGCGTCAGACATTTGATGAGTAGGGAGTGAGACTGTGTTGTTTCCTCAGCCTGTTCATCACATTGAAGGCCCTCAGCTGGCGCTCTGGTCGATTTCACTGACACACTTTTGTGGTTCTGGCACACTGTAAGAAATTGTCAGAACCAGTGACTTGCCATGTGTCGGTCCCATGGTCCTTCGGCTTTAACTGGTAGTGGCAGGAAACAGTCTTACAGCAGACGGGGCTAGCTCTGGTCTGTTGCTTAGAATCGAAATCCTAACTTGTTTAAATAACTTAACTTAATATTTAAAGCTAAGTCAACACAAAATAAGGTTTCAAAAGAAAAATTGTTGGTTGCTTCTCATTTAAAAGATAGATTAAACGAGGTAATAACTTTGACAATCAAACAAAGTTGAGTAGCTATGAGAGTTCCTAATAAGCTGAAAATAATCTTTAAAATACCTTGGCTCACTCCTATGCAAACTGTGTATATACTGTGAATGTGACGTCATGGGTTGGGTCGGGTTTTACCCCTCTGGGTTAATGTTTTCAAGAAACTTTAATTTGAAAATAATGCCTTAAATGTCTATTTGCACATGTTTCATCATATATATCTTTTCACAATGTCAGCACTCTTTCTAATGTCATGAGCATTTATACCATTCTATAAGTTCTAAGCATTAAAGGCAGGGGGTTTGCCGTTCTATTTAACAACAGATTAGACAGTTAAACAGCGTATCTGTAGCCCGGACATTGAACTGCTTGCTGTGGGACTCCGGCCATATTATCTGCCACGGGAAATTTCACATGCCATCCACTGTTGCTGTTTACATTCCGCCCTCTGCCTACCCGACGTCTGCGTGTAATCCACACCACCATTGCTGAACTCCAGACTCAACACCAAAGTGCCTTCATAGTGATCTCAGATGACTTCAACCTTATCACAATGAGCACCACTCTAACCAACTTCACCCAGTATGTGAGCTGACATGCTAGAGAGGAGAGGACCCTGGACCTGCTGTATGCTAACGTTAAGGATTCATACAGCTCACAGGAAGCTGGAGCGTAAACTCCAGCAGAACAACACGAGGGAGGTCTGGAGCAGCATGAGGAATGTTACTGGCTTCAGAACGACTGGCAGGAGAGGAGTTGAATGCCCTGCCCAATCCCCCCACTAACTTACTTTTGTCCTGGTCTGTTGTCGCTTTACTTCCTCTTTTTGGAGGTTTTGCTTCCTGTTGTCCTGATTACCTGATGTGTCTCACCTGTTCGCTCCCTCCCTGCTCGTTAGGTTCTGTTCTCATCGTGTGTCCAGTGTTCTGTCCAAACTCTTTGAATAACCCTGCTCTGATTTTGGATTTATGCTTTGTTTTGGAAACAGCCTTATTTTGGACTTTGCCAGTTTAGTAGCTCTTCTGTTTAAGTAATCATGCAAGCTGAATCCTGCTCTGACTGGTGTCTGGGTCTGGGTCCTACCTCTGAGTTGACCTGCCTCTGTAACTGTAACTGTGTTGCGACGCCGTGACTGTAGCAACACCATCTCAAGTTCCAATTCGTGTCCTTTGGAGCTCAAACACTGCAAACCATCACAGTTCAACTCTGTTTGTTTTCTGAATGGAGTTCAGATCAATCAGGGCTATCCTATGCTAACTTGTCCCAGTAACGCAACATTACAACGAGAGCCGGAATAAGTTACATACACGTTTTCTGAACTCACCAAGTAGTTCAACCTCCTCGCTTTCTTTTCTCCCAGAAATGTCCAGTTTAGTCGGTTGTTTTTATATAAATATGAACTACTAGTCAAACAGAGTTCTGCGTGCCAAACGACGCTAACAACAGTGGAACAGGATGTACACAGAAGCAAGCTGCTGAGAAGCTCATGTGAAGATGTCAAGATAATTCAATTCAATTTAGTTTTATTGATACAGCGCTGTACTCTGTGATGTTATTTACAGAAGCCCAACAAATCCCCCTAAGAGCAAGCACTAGCTGATAAATCTACGTTGTTGCTTTTAAACTTTTTTATATTTCCCTGTTGCTTTTATGTTTTATGTAAAGCACTTTGAATTACCTTGTTGTTGAAATATGCTATACAAATAAACTTGCCTTGCCTTGCCTAATCTCAAAAACTAAAGTAAAAAGCTAATTTAATAAAAGCAGTTTATTCAGAGCTCCTCCCGCGAGCAAACAGCGGTAGGTGTTTATTTGTCCAAAACCTGGAGCACTGCTCCTGCTCCTCTCCCCCAAGTTTAGCAGCTCTCTGCCGGCCAGCAGATTTTCAATCGCCCGAGAGCAGAACCATCTGCAGCTCAGTGTAAAAAAGACTAAGGAGCTGGTGGTGGATCTAAGGAGAGCAAAGGCATCATTGACCCCTGCTTCCATCCAGGGGTTTAATGTGGACATTGTGGTGGACTACAAATACCAGGGAGTGCACATGGACAATAAACTGGACTGAGGCTGAGGTCCTTCAACATCTGCAGGACGATGCTGAGGATGTTTTATGAGTCTGTGGTGGCCAGTGCTATCCTGTATGCTGTTGCATGCTGGGGCAGCAAGCTGAGGGTCTATTTTGTGCAGTAACACCTGCTTAAATACTTAATGTGCAATAATAATGCTGCTACTATTTATTCATTATTACTATTCACCATAACAATTGCTTAATACTGTGCCATTACAATTCCTTTAACTATGTAAATATTGTACATATCCACACTCCTTTATATTTTATATTTTATATTTTTACTCTGATATTTATATACTTCTTTATATGCCGCTATTTTTATTCATGTTCCTTTTTCCTTTTGTGCAATGTGTGCAACTGTGACACAGAATTTCCCCTTCGGGATCAAAAGTATTTTTGATTCTGATTCCTGCTCTTGATGTCTTAAAGTTTACATTTATCAGATTTACTGTAGCATCCACTTATTAATCACATTTCTTCTTTCTTCATTCAGGAACTGCTGCTGCAGTGTGCCGACGTAAACTCAAGTCTAACTTGAAGAAGAAGTTCCAGTGTGTGTTTGAGGGGATTGCTAAAGCAGGAAACCCAACCCTTCTGAACCAGATCTACACAGAGCTCTACATCACAGAGGGAGGGACTGCAGAGGTCAATGATGAACATGAGGTCAGACAGATTGAAACAGCATCCAGGAAACCAGACAGACCAGAAACAACCATCAGACAAGAAGACATCTTTAAAGCCTCACCTGGAAGAGATGAACCAATCAGAACAGTGATGACAAAGGGAGTGGCTGGCATTGGGAAAACAGTCTTAACACAGAAGTTCACTCTGGACTGGGCTGAAGACAAAGCCAACCAGGACATACAGTTCACATTTCCATTCACTTTCAGAGAGCTGAATGTGCTGAAAGAGAAAAAGTACAGCTTGGTGGAACTTGTTCATCACTTCTTTACTGAAACCAAAGCAGCAGGAATCTGCAGCTTTGAAGAGTTCCAGGTTGTGTTCATCTTTGACGGTCTGGATGAGTGTCGACTTCCTCTGGACTTCCACAACAATGAGGTCCTGACTGATGTTACAGAGTCCACCTCAGTGGATGTGCTGCTGACAAACCTCATCAGGGGGAACCTGCTTCCCTCTGCTCGCCTCTGGATAACCACACGACCTGCAGCAGCCAATCAGATCCCTCCTGAGTGTGTTGACATGGTGACAGAGGTCAGAGGGTTCACTGCCCCACAGAAGGAGGAGTACTTCAGGAAGAGGTTCAGAGATGAGGAGCAGGCCAGCAGAATCATCTCCCACATCAAGACATCACGAAGCCTCCACATCATGTGCCACATCCCAGTCTTCTGCTGGATCACTGCTACAGTTCTGGAGGAGGTGTTGAAGACCAGAAAGAGAGGAGAGCTGCCCAAGACCCTGACTGAGATGTACATCCACTTCCTGGTGGTTCAGTCCAAACTGAAGAACGTCAAGTATGATGGAGGAGCTGAGACAGATCAGCACTGGAGTCCAGAGAGCAGGAAGATGATTGAGTCTCTGGGAAAACTGGCTTTTGAGCAGCTGCAGAAAGGAAACCTGATCTTCTATGAATCAGACCTGACAGAGTGTGGCATCGATATCAGAGCAGCCTCAGTGTACTCAGGAGTGTTCACACAGGTCTTTAAAGAGGAGAGAGGACTGTACCAGGACAAGGTGTTCTGCTTCGTCCATCTGAGCGTTCAGGAGTTTCTGGTTGCTCTTCATGTCCATCTGACCTTCATCAACTCTGGTGTCAATCTGCTGGCAGAAAAACAATCAACCTCCCGGCGGTCTAAAGTCTTCAGAGACAAACCTAAACTAACACATCTCTACCACAGTGCTGTGGACGAGGCCTTACAGAGTCCAAATGGACACCTGGACTTGTTCCTCCGCTTCCTCCTGGGTCTTTCACTGCAGACCAATCAGACTCTCCTACGAGGTCTGCTGACACAGACAGGAAGTAGCTCACAGATCAATCGGGAAACAGTGAAGTACATCAAGAAGAAGATCAGTGAGAATCCGTCTCCAGAGAGAAGCATCAATCTATTCCACTGTCTGAATGAACTGAAAGATCGTTCTCTAGTGGAGCAGATCCAACAGTACCTGGGTTCAGGAAGTCTCTCCACAGATAAACTCTCTCCTGCTCAGTGGTCAGCTCTGGTCTTCATCTTACTGTCATCAGAAAAAGATCTGGAAGTGTTTGACCTGAAGAAATACTCTGCTTCAGAGGAGGCTCTTCTGAGGCTGCTGCCAGTGGTCAAAGCCTCCAACAAAGCTCTGTAGTTGGATGTGTGGATGTGCAATTTCAAAAATTCTTAATTTTATATTTGACAGATAAATCATTTAGTTTTTGCCTATTGCAAATTGTTTTTCAGGTTGAGTGGCTGTAACCTCTCAGAGAGAAGCTGTGAAGCTCTTTCCTCAGTTCTCAGCTCCCAGTCCTCTAGTCTGAGAGAGCTGGACCTGAGTAACAACGACCTGCAGGATTCAGGAGTGAAGCTGCTGTCTGCTGGACTGGAGAGTCCACACTGTAAACTGGAAACTCTCAGGTCAGTATTGAATTGTGTTTTAAATCTTCATCTGGTTTTAACTTCATGTTAGTGGAAAGGGCCTGTAGGATTTTTCTTCTGAAATGATTTTCTATCACACAGAGTTTATGATGTTTTCCTGATTCCAGGCTGTCATTCTGTCTGATCACCAAGGAAGGCTGTGCTTCTCTGGCCTCAGCACTGGGTTCCAACCCCTCCTATCTGAGAGAGCTGGACCTGAGCTATAATCATCCAGGAGACTCGGGGGTTAAGCTGCTGTCTGCTGGACTGGAGGATCCACACTGGAGACTGGACACTCTCAGGTTTGGACAGACAACAAGAGCTCACACTTTGCAGATCTCTCCATTTTCTCATTTAATTTCAGTCTACTGGAGTCCATCATCATGAAGGACTTCTTATTCCTCCTCATTCTGTTCAGAGCAGTGTGTAGGCCTGAGTTAGGAAACACACGGATCTCCAGAAGTCTTATCGATTGGAAATAGCTGTTCATTAGAAACAACGGAGACTTGGATGTAAAATCATTCTCGTGTGAGCCCTGCTAACAGCATGGCTCTATGTATAGAAGCAGGGGTTGACTGGTAATCTGGCATACTGGGTAAATGCCTGGTGGGCGGACAAATCTTTCGGGCCTGTGTAGCATAAATGGGCCAATGACCGGCTCATAAAATATGGGCCGCGGTCCATTATATATTGTACATTTTATATTAGGCTGGCCCAATCACTTCTCTTACTAGAAATATTAATATTTCCATTAAACTCATTTGCATCTGTTTTGAGTTATATGTTCGCTCTTAGTTAATTTAGTGAAATCACTTTGAGTGTATTCTACATTGGCCTTAAGTTAAAATTCAACCTTGATCTATCAACTCAAATGGGGTTTGTCAGTTTTAGTAGTGCCAGCGTTGTTGAATGAACTGATGTCAGTCTTGCATGTTCAATTTGTGTGTTTTCATACCTAGGACAAGAATGTATTGTGTAAGACCAAACATGCATACATACATATATACACACATACATATATAATTAGTACTCTTCTCACTGATATTTTGCCTGCCACTTGTAAAGAACATTATACTATATAAAAACATATTAGCATAAATTAACACATTTTAATTCAAACCTTGGAAATCTCCAACATTTCTTATTTTTCTCCCTGCTGCTCCACCTTTGCATCAAAATATCTCCGTCAGGCACAGAGAATACTGGTCGAGAGCTGCACAGAATGTGGAAAGTAGAGGTAAAGTTGATATAAGATGGAACTCCCTATTGATCTGGAAATCATTACTGCACATGTTATTAACCCTCACAGAACACCACAACAACAAGAAGGAACAATGAATTATTAGTACTTTAATATCATTGAAGAGATTAAAAAAACCTAAGCAGACAGGACAATCACCTCTTTCGCAGTGAACAGAGCTGGCCATCTGCTTTTCACATCTGCAATCAAAGGCTCTTCTCCTTTAAGGATTTCTTGCCTCCAGTATGAGAAAGTCTTCTCCATTTTCAACTTCACAATATGCTCATTGTTCCTCTTCTTTATTTCTGAAAGCAGTGCAACCCTTTCCAGCTCCAGACTTTCAATGGATTCTCCTTTTGGATGCTGCGGACAGTAATTGACTTAAGCCCTTCTGGCTTTTTTTTTTACATTCGACACCGCTTTGGCTGACTAACACAAGATTTTACAACTGTAAAACACAACACACAATTTCACACCACAACAATAATTCCAAGAATAAAATCACAACATTAGGTTCCCACAACAAGACATTACAATAGCTGAGTTTGTGCTTGAAGGGTACATTACTGGGTTAATTGTCGGGGGAAATACTTAGACCAGGCTCCTATCTGAATAAATGGGGAGAGAGCCAGAATTGCACGTTTACTGGTCACCAGGACATAAACACTACATGAATTAAAATCTGATAAAAATCGCTTTCCACCAAAATAAGGTTGAAAAAGTGTTTTCACCACCACCAAGCAGACGATTGGCTTTCTAGCTTTGCCGTTATGGGCTTTCCCCATACAGTTATATTGAGGATGTGATTGAGTGGCATGTCTCCTCTAAATTGTCTCACTGAATAGGCAGCTAACAGGTAGTCATCATGTATTTCCCCATGCTCAATCAGAGTCACCTCTTTTACATGTGTTATGTCCAGTTCAAATGTTCTATACCAACTGGACAACGTTTTCAAAATAAAATGTACCTGGCCTTGCAAAACACATCAGAATTTCAGCTAAATCTGGCAGACCAAAATTGCCCATGGACAAGAATCAGCAGTGTGGACAGGGGCTGCAAGCTCTACTATGGGCCTGATTTACTAAAGGTTTGCATGAGTAAAAACGTGTGCAAACTTGATATCACCCGCAAATTAACACGTCAGCTGATCTACTAACGGTGTGCACGCAGAATGACGTTTTTTAAAAAGTGCAAAATAGCACCTGTTGTTCATTTAGTAGTTTTGCCTTAATGAATATGCAATTTGGAGCGTTTCAGTTTCATTGTGCAAAGTAATGGGATGTTAACATGCAAATACATTTATTTACTACACGCAATGTGATCTACCAAGCCTAAAAGCAATTTCATGTGAGTGTACCAGCCTCTGTATTTAATATGTTTGAAAGGAAGGTGCAAACCGCCAAGTGTTGTGCAGAGATGGCTGCTGTTATTGTTGCCAGAAGGAGACACAGCCATAATGAAAGAAAACGTAGAGAAATTAACAATATTAGAGAATTATAATAGAGAATAGCGAATTCATGCCAATAAAGCAAATTTTGTTTTGACCTGACTTCTTTTCCCTGTGAGATGGAAGAATTTAGAAAGTTGCGTGGTGCTGTGGAAAGCCCCCAGCTGCAGTGCATGGATCACGCGTAAAATTCATCCAGCCAGAGGGAACAGCGTGCTGGTCGTTATAGCGACACAACCCATTGTAGGTATCGGAGAGGGTATGGGACGTTGGTGTACAGGGCCAGGTACAGGAGATCACGGATCGACCAGGCACGGTGTGGACGGTCGGTGGTCGTTCAGATCCAAAACAACATGCCATGCAGGTTCATCCTCCGGCACAAGTGGGCCAAAAATTAGAGGCAACAATCGAAGCAGAGCCCAATTCTCGTGTGCGTTTCCACCAATGTGTGAGGCCGATATGTTATATCTGCCCATTTATTCTCAAAAGTTTGGATCAAATTGTTCAGTTTTCTAATCTGAAATACTTCTTAGAAATCATAAGAGAAAAACAATATGCTAACTCCACAGATATTATGCCCTCAAATAGATCACGGGCAAGATCTGGAGGGCAGCTTGCGGTAACACGAACATGGGAGAGATTCTTACTCAACACGCATTCACGTTTAACACCATAGCATGCACTTGTTTTTTCCAATGCACACTTCAAATGTACATCATGGTGTTCCCACGTTCTAAGCTCAAAATGACTAGCTGTCTTCATCTGAATTTCTGTTTTCTTAGCTGTACAGAATCTACAGTTGTAGTCTCCAGAGAAACTTTCTACAAAACCTACCAGGCCATGGCCTCCAAGATTATCAACTTTAATGCATCTCACAGTGTCTTTGATACACTCATTCACTTGACTGATGAACACACCATGTTCCTCCAAATTTACCAGATCTTTTTCCTCAAATCATCACTTTTTCAAAGAACAGCCAAATAAATTGATGAGAGCAGAATGAGAGCCAGGCGGGAAATTATCCAAGACCCAGTATACCCCACAAAGCTTATGCTTTTTGTGCAAAGTCCCAAGAGGATTACAAATCTCAAACTCGTCAATATAAAGTTTGATGGAAATTGTTAACTTATCAACAGCTAGAAAAATATGATAGTGATAATTTTCACCACCTCAAAAAGACCTGTACACTCGCTGATCACCATGCAAAGCTTCTCTACTTTCTTGAGCTATGTGTTCTTCAATCACTTTATCCAAATTCATTGTGACTCAGTATTTTATGTAATAATGGAAATTAACTCCCTTTTTCTACAGATAAAAAGTACTCAATATGCTCTATAACTCTAAAATGTACCTTGTAATAACATAGACATCTTGTAATATTGTTTTCTTTTATAAGATGTGGCAAGAGAAAAGAAAACAATATTACATATTAAAAATTACAAATAACATACTTTTCAAAACGTTTAATGACAGGGTGAAAAACACACAGAATTAGCAAGTAAAAACTGTACGAGGGAAAATATTATGTTTCACATCCCATTGGGCCATTATTTTCACCATATTTCTGAACAAATAGTTGGAAAAGCTGGAGCAGATAATAAATAACTAAACACCCAAAGATCAGTCTACTGGAGGAACTACAACCATTAGATTTGGGTAAAGTAATTTGGTTGGTTCTGATGCTCTCCACAGTGATTAGACATTGATGGCACAGCATGTTTTGGGCATCACCCCCTTAGCCTTAATGGCTGGACAACCCTGTTAATACAACCTCAGAATCATTATAGACACGATTGTTCATGTTTGCCTTTGTGTCTTCATTTTACAGTTTTTGACATTTATCTGTTTAGACATTAATATATAAAAATAGGCAACACGAGAAACTTCCTCCCTTCCGAGATGCATTTTATTTCTACATAAAAATCCAAAACGAAACGTCTCCTCAATAGCTTAAAAGAACTAGTTTGCATCACTAGTTTGCTTTACTAACCTCAGCTCCTCCAGTCACTGCCGTCCTTTCTTTTCCTAATAACCACTTTTTCAGACTGAAAAATAATTGAATCAGTCTGTCCAGGACAGAGCTGTTGGCTACGCCAGTTTAGTCTAAGTTTGTAACTGATGTTCTCAACATTGGACAAGTAGGCAGTAATAAAATACAGCTACCAGTTACTTTCTATAAATTGAGCTAATGTTAAGATAGACATCATACAACATAGAGCCATAAAATGTAGCTGCACAGTCTGAAGGGGAGGGAAGATGTTAGCTAGCGCAAACCAGCTTCACTTTTCCAGCTGTTTGGGAAACAACAGCAAG